TTTCGAATTGGCCTTGCGCGCTCGGTGACGTCACAAGGACACGCAGCGCCCGAGCGACGTGTTGAACTCGCAATTAAAATTTTAATTTATGCAAATTGCCGTTGGCGCGCCGGCACAGCTGTGCGTTGTTGGTCGCATAGAATTTTTTGTTTTTGGTATTTTGTGAGGTGTAGCCCAATCGGGATTTGTTGTGTGTATTTCGTGATTTGTGCTTTCGGCGAAAAGACGTGTCGGAATGTGTGCTGTGCAGCGGTTGGATATAGTGTTTCGGTAGAATTGTTTTAAAATGTATTATGGCTTCATAATCGATAAATAATTTTTTTTTGCCGCTTTGGTTTTGTGACTAAAATTTGTGGTTTTTGGGTTAACTTGTAGTCATCAAATTGCGAAAAACTGCCTAAAATGTCGTTTAAATTTATATTCGAAAAAAAAATGACAATTAAAAAAAATATTTCCTCATGCGAGAAGTTACCGCGCTCAAAAATTTAAAGCAACGTTTTTTGCAATAGTTTAGAAATACTAAAAATGTAATCATAAATTAAATATAATGAATTAAGCAATTTTTACGTGTATATATAATATATGCGTTCAATTTGAGTTTGATCTTACATTTTTAAAAATTCAAAAAATCTGTTTTTTTCTCATTAAATAAATGCATTCGAAAATTTACGGTATAATAAAAATTAAAAAAAAACGCTAATTAAAAAAAATATTTAAAGTGAAATCCATTAAAAAATGCCCAATAAAGATAAAAAATATTTTTAAGTTCAAACAAAACAAAATTCAGATTCGAAATTCGAATAAAATTTGCTTTGAGGTTTTAGCTTTTACTAAGTACTGCGAGCCAATTATTCAAGCATGAATTACACTGAGCTTTTATCACATTTAGAAGAAAATTTAAGATTTTACTTCCATAAGTTAATGTATTAACTCATAGGACAATTTCTTTTGCGCCTGCTGGTATGCTAAGAAAAAATTATATGCCAGTTTAAAATTATATTTTTTATGAGAGAAACGCAACGTTTAGTTTCAATATACATATATACCGTAAATACATATGTATGTATAAAAAAAAACAAAAATATATATAATATGCACCATATAACAATATCAAACAAGATTTTATAACATAAATTTTAGATTTTTTCTTTAATATTTTATCTTAAGTACTATTTCATATCACCAAGCAATAAAGACGCTTATTCTGAGTTTGATTAAATCGTCGTTCATCAAAGTAAAATTACTATTTCATATGAGTTGTGTAACCCTGCCAAAATTTTGATTGATTATCACATTTTTGGCCGAGTAACATTTTTCTTACGTAGCTAAAAAAAAATTTGCTGAAATTTGTTTTTTTTTTGGAACTTCTTGTTTTTTCAACTTAATTTTTATTTTTATTTTTATTTTTTGTGAATCGTAAAGTTGTAAATTAGCTATGTACGTGAATAAGTTTTTATGTGATATAATTTAGAAATTCCAACTATGATGAAATTCATGACAACAACGCCACCTTTCGTTTCACCACTGTCAAAAATTTGATAACACTTATATTTGTGACCTGAATGATGAACAATTGAGTTTTTCAAACAAATTTGTGTCTGAATGAAGCAAATCAGTCACATCGGAAATGCATTAGGCAAACATAAAGAAAATTTTAGAAATATTAAATTTTTCTTTTATTGTCTACTTATATTTTCTGTTAAAACACTTCAAAAGTTTTGATGAAAAAGTAATTAGAAATATATCGCCAAAAATTTTGTAAGCCAAAAAACAAAAAAAAAGAAGATATTAAAATATTCCATAAGGATTTTTAGTAAAAAAAAGTAGTAATTAAACTACTGCAGACTTACGAATTCACCAGAGGATGTAGCCAAGCTAAAAAACCGCTTGCATTCAATACATGCGACAGTAAATTAAAAAATAACGGGAATTTTTGTTTTTTGAAAAAAATAGTTACTCATTCGTCTACACTAATATTGTTGCCTTCAAAATAGCCCCCTCGCGATATTAAGCACTTATGCCAGTGCTTATTGCAATCAAAGAAACACTGCTCAAACTCGATTTTTGGGATAACAATAACTTAACCTTAATCTAACTTGAAAAATGACGGTCCTTTAAGGTTCTCCTTATTTATGGAAATAGAAAAAGGTCAAAGAGAGTCCTGTCTGTTGAATATGGAGGCTGGGGCATCGCTACAGTTTTTTTTTTTTTGGCAAGAATTCATTATCATTTCTATTAACAAACGATAATTGCTCAGCACATAAAAATACATCTAACCTTAGCGACAGCTACAGACGAAGTAAGCAATGAATACAGCTGAAAATTAAATTTATCGTTCTTCAGTGGCATGTACAAGTATATCAACATAAGAAAAAAAATGTTGAGAACTCAACTCTCCAAATCCGCATAATTTTAATTTTCAAATTCTTGTTATTTTTGAACAATCAACTCACTCATACTTCATTTGCTATTGTTTATTTAATTTTGCTGTTAAAATGCCTTAAAAAATCTGGTCAAATAAATGTTAGAAATATTTTGCTAAAAAAATTTTGCAAACAGAAAAGAAAAATTATTGAAAAATACCATAACAATTTTTAGTTAAAAAATTATAAATGAACTGCTTGGAGCTTGCGAAATTACGAGAGGACGTAGTCAACTTTAAAAATTGTATTACTATACATATTTACATACACATTATACATTAGTCTTATGGCTTCTAAAAAAACAAAATGCTTAAATTTCTTTACTTTAAAATGTTTAATTGCTTAATGAATTATTAATCTTAATCTTTTACTTTGAATTTTAAAAGCGTTTTAATTTTTTTCAAATCATTGATAAAAAAAAATTAAGCTTGCAAATATACCTATTTATATTATTTATAATATAATTATTTATAGACGTATGAAAAATATTGTAAAGCAAATATGAAAAACCTGTAGAAAAAGCTTTTTCAAAAAACGTACTTAATGAAATACATATGCGCAAAAAAGTGTAAAACAGAAGACTTGCGAGTATTTGGGTCATTTATTGCATTTTAAATTTTTCGAGATTAAATGCTGCTTAAGCTAGGAAAATGAATATTGTTTGCAGGAAAAATTAAAAGCAGTTTTCACAATGCGAAAATTCTATGCTTTTCTCATAATTAAATTCGCAAACAAAATTTTCGAAATTCTTAAGAAAGCGTTCAATTATAACTGTACATTAAAGCTTAAAGAAAAGCATTTAAAAAAATTGAAAAATACGAAAAACCATTCCGTAGTGATGCAAAAACAAGAAAATGATGTGTTTTTTCTAGATTAATTTGGAAAATATTATTTTATGATTTTTTAAAAAATGTTTAATATTTTTTATTTTTATTATGTGCATACGTAATTCTCAGGCACATTAAAAAATCTGCTCTACGCAAACTTTTTTGTAATTTTATAATTTTAAAATAGTATAGCTAATATGCATTTATTACTTTTGTTAAATTACATTCTTGGTTACCTTGAAATACAAATATTTATATCCTGAACAGGTTAAGTTTGAAACGAAGTTTGTAACCAAAAGGAAATGTCGGAGACCCTATAATATAATATTATATATAGGTACAATATATATTATATAAAAAAGCAACATGACAAGCTGAGTCGACTTAGCCATGTCTGTCTGTTTGTCTGTACGTCTGTCTGTATATACGCGAACTTGTGCCTCAGTTATTGAGATATCGATCTAAAATTTTCAGAAACGCTGCTATCGGAGCACTACAACTTATAACTGCCATTCAAAATGTACGATCAGCATTGAGTGCTTGTATGTGAAACTTTTTCATATGCTGAGATATCTTCACGAAATTCGTTATGGAGTATTTTCTATGGCAGTAATGTACCGAAGAAATTGTTTAGAACGGATTACTATAGCATATAGCTGTCATACAAACTGAACAATCGGCATTTAGTTCTTATAAGGAACCGTTTATGTTTGTGAAGGGTATTTTAGCTTCGATACAAACGAAGTTAACGTTTTTTTTTGGTTTTTAACTAAAAAATAGTAATTAAAATATTTCAATTTTATATTGCAATTCAAAAAAATTTTTGCAAATATTGCTGGAAGCAACCACTAAATCAGTTAACTGCATTTAAAAATTGTAATGTTTAGGTCCAGGAAAACTTCATTAATACCCTAATGATTTTTAAATATAGAATGTATTTTAGCTGCATTTGAAATTAATTTTTGCGTCTAATAAAATATATAGCAATATTCTATTCAAATAATAATTATTTTTATAGTGAATTTTTTTTTCGATTTTAGTTATAAAATTACCAAAAAAAAAAATGCTTCTGTAAACGAACTGTAATTTATTTTTTATTATTATACCCATTATCAATTTGAATAACATTAATTGTTTTGCTGCTTTAAATTTACAAATTTACACTACGATTTATTATTTGTTTTAAAAGAAATTATAAAATAATTTTTTAAGAGCAGATTTTTCACTTTTTCTTACATATTAAAAAATTTGACGACTGTAAAATAAAACTTGAATGCCATAAAAAATATTGAAAGCTCTACTTTTTTAGAAAAATTTTTGACTCAACAAAAATACGTGTACTATTTCCGAAAATATTTCAGACGCCTAAATAGCTGTTGAGCTCAAAAGAAAAACTGAATTTAAAGCTCATTTAAAGATATTTTACAATTTCTCTTAATTTCCAAACAAAAAACGTTTAACCATGCATACCAATATTTCTTAATATTTTCTTGTTTTTAAATATTGAGTAATAAATTTAAATTTCATATTTTATATCATAAATTTAGCTGCTTAAAGTTTACATATTTCTTGTTTGTTAACAAAATATAATTTTTTTGCACCGTTACAGTCGCGCACTGTCTTTGATAAATATTTAAAATTTAACAAAACGTAAAAAATTACAATGCACTTTCATTTTTAGTTAAGCCTTTTAATTGAAGCTTTCACTTTCACTTTGTCAGCCTATATTTGGCATTATATTTTCACTTACCTATAATTTGTGTTTCACCCAAATGATATGCAGCGTAACGGTAAAAGCTCTTTTGCACAAAATTGTTGTCATCAAATCCATTTGCTTGCAATTTTTATTTTAAAATAGCGTTATTGATTTTATTTATTTTTTCTGGAAAAATAATTTTTAACACTTTCATACGTAACTTTAAAAATTGTTTTTATTTTTTTTTTTTAAATTTTTTTTTACTCGTGCCACACAATATTTTAGTCACACAACTCACAACAGTACTGTAATGTTAAATATTGTCTCAACTTTTAATTTTTCTGAGTTCTTTGGCAACAACTTGGGGCAATCCCCAAACGTATAATATAGCAAAGCCGACGACAACCTTTCGGATGCGCCTCACGTTGAGGAATGAAATTTCAATTTGTATTGCACGCAATGCGAACAGAACAGATTCCTTTTCTTCTTTAGTGGCTGGCGCCTTATCACCACTGAATCGCTAAACAATTTGGGAGCGCGTCTTCGCGTTTCATCTTCAACGGCTCCATCAATGCCAGCCAGCGACGGGGGCGACGCGCCCATGTCGATAGTGGCACGTTGGCGCGGCAGGCGGTGAAGGCGTTGGCAGCAGCGGCAATACACAGACTCCAAGGAAGCAATCAACAGCGGCAATCGAGATGTGAGAAGTCGAAAAAAAATCAACTCTATGCGTGCAAAGTTGCACAGCGAATTTCCAACAAACGCTCTCCACGTCGCGAAGAAATATTAACTCAGGTTGCCTTTTTACGCGAAATATTACAAGTGTCTGTATGTATGAGTGCAAGCGCGCGACCGTTATAACAGTTAGCAAAGGCAGTGCGCGAATGGGCGGCGAATTATTGAGACGCGACGCACCAGTCAGTCACAATGCGCGACTGCTACTGTCCGCGAACGACTTTGCCAAGCCCGCACCAAACAACAAAACGCGTTAGTGCAAAGCAACTTGAAGAAGACGTCGACACCGACACCGACGCCAACGCCAACGCCAGTAGCACTGAGCCAGTGCAAGCGGGTGTGTGTCGACTGGAAGTGGAAGCGAGTATCGTCAGCGTATTTGCCACCCCCACATGGCACCACACACATACTTGTACATAGTTGTAGGCCAAGCATTGTGGCAATTGTGAGGGGAGTTGAGGCGGCTCATAGCTGCAGAGCGCGCATTTTACGCCACTGAGTGAAGTTGAAACGACAACAAACACACGCACAGCCACAGTTACATGCCAAGTCAGAGTCATAATTTCCGTCAAGTGTTGGGCATGCGCACTGCCACATTTTCTCTCGCAGCAAGGATTCACTCTTGCGCTCCTTGTAATGCACAAATACATTGACGCGCGTGCTGTGCGCCGTAACAAGTTGAAGTTGCGCGTTTTTGTTGTTTTTGTTTTTTTTTTTCATTTTGCAACAGAAAGTGCCACTTCATGGCAGTAGCAGTCCCGAAGGGTATATTGCCCTAGAAAAAAGTGAGTCAAAAAAATGAGAAAAAATGGTGGTGGAAACTTCCAAAAAAAAAAAAAAAAAAAAATACAACATAAATCAACCCCTCACCATGTACACGCACACATGCAAAAAATTTAAAATAAAAAATAAATAAAAACGCACACATACAAGCATATTTACATATGGAGTTTGTGGCCGCGGAGGGCAATAGCAAAAAATGCATAACGAATTTTTCCAATTTTATTTTTTTGCGTTTATTCCACGCAGCGACTCACACATGCACACACCTTCGGCCGCTCACACGCTCAGCGCCGATCCTGTAGGCAAAGGTTTTGTTGTTGTAAAAAGTTGTTGTTGTATATTAACTCACCCCTTGAGTTTTTTTTTTTTACATGTTTCTCTTTGTCAGTAATTCGCACTCATATTTTAAGAAAGTAGCTAACTTAAGCATTTGTTAAGTTAAAAATTCACCACACTGCTTTTGATATTCAACTAGAGTCAAATAAGAAAATTTGCTTTGTTGCCTCAAATAATATCAAAATGTGTGTTTTTATATTGTAGCGCTGTTATACTTTCGCATTTGTGGCAGCGAGTAATTGCATAGAAAAATGTTTGTATTAAGATCACACTTGACAGTGACTTGACTCACATGACTTTTATATTTTCACCACACTAAAAAATTTGCATATTGGCAGAAATCTTGAAGCGGATAACAAATTATGGACATACAAGTATAATACAATTTAATTTATAATTTTGAAGATACGAGCGATTTGCAGGAATTTTGAATTCATATTGAATAATTTCGTGGGAAACCCCAAATTTCTATTGGAATAAGCAAATTTTAAGTTTTAAAGAATTTTTCCATTAAAAAATTTATATATTGATTTTTTGCATTGAAATTGCAGAGCTGTCAATCCAAACTGGCATATGCCCCTAATATACTAACTACTACTAAAAGGCTAACCTAAAAACTAAAATTTTGAAAATCTCTAAACATACACAGTCTGAATGGACTACGATCCAATAAGAATGCGAGTCGGTGGACAAATGAATTGAACAGATCTGAAACTCGTTTCTATCAACTAAGATAACAGTTCTATGGTAATAGATTGCATCCCCGTGAAACAGGCAGCCATGAAACTGTCTTCCATTTTTTTATGTGCTATGTGCTCGACAATATGGCGGGTCCCGATCCGGAGTTTGACTCCTCAGAAACCCTTAGGGAGTTCCTGCTTAATTTAACGAAAGATATTGTTAAATCAAACAAGCTTATGCCCGCCCAGGATATCCCAAGGAGACCTTGTGCTCGCATTTGGTTGGCCCCTCTAAAGCAGCCAGGCGAAAAACTGCTGAGATGTATAAAGCTGCAGAACAAGTTTGTACTTGGTATAGAGGACTAGCAGCTAATAAAGGAGAAGTAGCCAAACAAATCAAGCAAACCGGTATTAGTGGCCATTTGCAAAGAGCCGATAGAGGCTCTATCGATAGTTGACAGCAAAATCATTCTCAGCATCCACAATACCAGATCGCAGCTGCTCACGCGAAGGCAATAAAAAAAAGGTTTTACACTTTCTCCGAAAATACCCAGCTCTATCACAAACCCGACATAGAACTCTTGGAATACATCTGGTATCAGACATTGCATGGCTATCAGCAAAAAGTATACGGTAATAAGTAGTTTCACTGAGGGCATCAAATAGTCTGAACGTAACAATGAAACGAGATAGAAAGATTGTAAAAGCTTTATAACTAGATTTACAAGAATTTGTCAAATGCATTCTCTCTCAAAAATTTTATGAGCTCAAATAAATATATTTGTAAAATTAACACTTTAAAAAAATGTAGCAATACTGAGAAAATTTGAAGTCGCGCAATATTTTGAAGAATAGAAATACTTATTTCTAGCTGCATTGGCTCGCGCATACACATTTATATGAATAAATATATATTATATGTATTTGCGTGTAAGCACAGCTCTGATTTGCATGTGGCATTAGATATTATATATATATATATATATATGTATGTAGAGTGAAGTGGCAAGCGCGCAGCGGGCGCAAATTCGCGCAATTTCCTTTGCATGGGGAATATCCTTAAACAGTCGCTATAAAAATCCTTATCAGAGCGCGGCCACGCATTTTGTCATACCTTTCAATAGACAAATATTGGGAAGCAACAATATAAAGATAGTGGTTGGGTGCGAAGTCACGCTTGCAACATGTATGGCAACTTGTGAGTGTGCGTGAGTTGTAGATCATTGCTGGCGGCTTCGGTGAGCTTTGGTGGGCTGTGGCGGCTAAGGTATGCGGTTGCTGCTGGATTTTGCAGCAAGAGGTACGACGGTGTTACCGCCGATGAGCGGCGCATATTTAGAAAAAAAATATATATATATAATATATGTACATGTGGATGTATTAGGGTGGGCCAAGATATGTACAGAACTTCTTCAAAGCTTTTAAATGTAAGAAATTGTGCATTGAAAAAAATTGATCCGATAATCAATAGTTTTTTTGGCAAATTTCAAGCACGATATAAAAAAAAATTGAGAAACTTTGAATGCCCATCGACTACTCTTAGAATATACTGAACAGAAGTCAACGTCGGAGATCTTAAAACAAAATATATATATGCTATATAAATAATCAACGACACGAGCTTAGTCGATTTAGTCATGCCCATCTGTCTTCCCATTTATCAATCAGTTTTTGAGATATCGTTCTAAAATTTTGCACACGTTCTTTTCTCCTCAAGCAGTTGCTGATTTGTCGAAACCGCTGATATCGCATCACAATTGCATATAGCTGTCATACAAACTGTTCGCTCAAAATCAAGTTCTCATATAGAGCACTTTTTTTTTAGACAAGATATCTGCACGAAATTTGGCATGGATTATTTTTAAATGCAACGTTGTTATCTCTGAAGAAATTGTTCAGATTGGTTTACTATAACATATAGCTGTCATACAAACTGACCGTTAAAAATGAAATTCTTGCAGGGAAGCTTTTTATTGGTAACATCGAATTAACGTTTTTGCTTGTTTTCTCTGTATGTAGTAAGTTGCTTTAACCCATGAATTTGTTAGGCTAGTTTTTGGCTTACCCTAGTGTGTATATACATATAATATATATATATGTATGTATGCACAACCGTAGAAATACATAAATCGAAGCGTGATGTGTTTGCGCTACATTTTGTTGTTGTTGTTGTTTCTGTATTGTTGTTGTTAGCCATCGCTTGTTTATTTGCGCTTATTTGCTTGTCGCTTTCTTTTTTCTTTTTTTTGCTGCCATTTTTTTGCGTTCCTTTTGCGTCTCGCTTAAATTTTGCCCACTTGCCAATGACTGCCGCTGAATGATAGATGGATTATCATTTTGTTTGGCGTAAATTGAATTTTGAATTTAACGCAGATGATCAAAATGTATTATTCAGTGCACGATTGTTGTTGTAAACACCGAAGTGTATTTACGCGTATGCACCGTGCGATTGTGTGGCATAATGTGTTTATGTGGCATCTTTGCTTTAATATTTTGCAAAAAAACTGTGTGGCAGCGCTACTGCAACGCATTTAAAACTGTAAGCTCAAGTAGATGCCACAAAAACAAAAAAAAAAGCAAGACGCCCAGTCAAGCCTCTTCTACACTTTGTGCGTTGCCAATTTGTCGGCATGCAAGTGGCTAGAACATGGCATTAACAACCAAAGTCGATGTGTGTAGTTTGGAATTTGCATTGGCAACAATACAAACAGCAATAACAACAAAAGTGGCATTCAAAACTGCAAACAGTAATAACAAATCCTTCAATAATTCCGGTTGGTTGGATTGCGCCTCGTGCCTATGGTATGAAACATTGTGCAACATAGTCGTATAGTGGTTGTTGTTGTTGTAAAGGTAGTTTGTTATTGTTGTTGTTGTTTTTGCAACATAGAATCTTTTGCTGGTTATTTTTGGATAGTTGCGGGCGTTGTTTGTTATTGTTGTTGTTATTATTGGTTTTGTTGTTATTTTTGTTTTTATTGCAACACAGATTGCCTGACTGTTTGTTTTCGGGTAGTTGCTGGCGTTCTTTAGTGACTTTTTGTTGTAACATGGTTGTTGTTGTTGTTGTTGTTGCCTCCGCTGTTCGTGTCATTGTTGTTGTTGTAACACAGACTGCCTGGCTAGTTGTTAGCATGCAGTTGTTGTCATTTTTGTTAATTTTTTTTAGTTTTTTTGTTGTTGCTGTTGTTGTGCAAAGCTATTGTCGAGCCGTACAACAAGCTTTCGTGCATCAACTGTAGCTCAAATTCAAAAGGATAATCAAAAATACACAATTTGTTTTTTTTTTTGACTTTACCCATTTCCTTTCTCGCTTTACTCTGTTTTTCTTTCCGGTTTGCTCCTTCCTTTCGGCCACTTGCATATTGCTCGATTTTCGAGGATTTTCTTTTTTGATGTTTGCATGCTTCAATAACAACAACAACTAGTTGAATGCTGTTGCCTCAATGACTTACTGTGCAGTGTTTTACAATTCGTTCGTTGGTTGTTGTTGTTATTGTTGCTGTTGTTTTTTGTTATTATTGCTGTTGCTGATTTTCTCGTTGTTGTTGTGCTAGTTGTAGCTGTAGTATGCGAAATTTTTTCTATGCTCTTTTCTGATTCACTTTTTTCGTTACTTTGTCCGCTTCCGCCTTTTTGCCTTACACACACACACACAC